ATAATATTTTGGCGAAATTGTTGTTGAGTAAATATCGCATTTTAAATCTTGTTATGGTGGAACATCTCCAGTGGAAAATGAAGAAAACTAGCCAATTTTTATTTTTGTTCAAGAGGCATGCTTGGCATTGCTGGTGGAATTAAAAAAACACTTTTGACAGATTTAGACCCACATAACTATTGAGAATATCCAGAAATGTTCCAACAGCCATTACATTACGTTGCTTTTTTAAAAAGCACTGACCTTCTTAAGTATTTTTTTCTTCATAATTGTCCCAAAAGTATTTCTGAAACCTGACCACATTTTTTTTCCCTTCGTGCTGATTTCAGAAATATGCTCCTAATGTAATTTGCGTGCATTTTTCAGGCTGTGTGGTAGTTACAGACTCCACTGACTCTAGTTACCCAATGCAATTACTTTAAAAAAACTATGCTGATAGTCCATTTATATTTATTATTTTTCAAGTAAAGACTTGCCAGTGAACAGTTGCATGAGAATTACAAAAATAAAATATTAAGTTTTTAAGATAGTAGTAACACACCACCACGGGGAGAGAGACACGCAAACTTCAAATCTACAGGCGTCGTTAGGGTCTGGATCGAAGCCACGACCACCTGCACAGCAGGCGAGGGAGTTAATATTTCTCTACCGTGGCGCCATATCTTAAAACATGGCTCATACAAGGAGTTATGTTTGCATTGACCACAATACCTGCGGTCGGAATGCAAACAAAAACATAACTCTGATAATGTACGCATACATTATCAGAGTTATGTTATGTTTTTTGTTTGCATTCCGACCGCAAGTATTGTGGTCAATGCAAACGTGACTCCTTGTTAAACAGGTGTCAGTTTTGTTGCCAGATAAAAGGGTAAAAAAAAAACAATTATTATTTTTTTCTACTGGCAAAGAAGGTTCCAATGATGGCTCATACACATACATAAAAAAACATAAATACAAACCAAATATTTTACGTAATATTGTTGGCTATTTGCAGGTGTTATATTTTATATATTACATAACCCCACAATATCCCACTCTTGTGTGTTATTTCATGGGGTCTTTAACTTCCATTCTATAACAGGTTGTGTACTTTGGCAATATCTCCATGGAAAATCCCAGGCAGGCAGGAGTGGAAATGAAAGTGCAGACTCAATGAAAATTGATCCATCGGTACTCACGCAGCCTGCAATGAATTATATGCAAGCACCCAGTACCTGGACCACCAGGCAGCTCATACATTGCAAATGCGTCGTTATTTTCATTGCGCGAGTAACAAACGGTTAATTTAGTTTTTCATTGTCACATAAACTCGTTACGTTTTATCCGTGCGTCATGGATAATATGATTTAAGTCTTGATCGAGAAGGATGGTTAACTCCAATTAGCTAAACGAAGATATAATGGCTCCAGTGCTGGTAGCTGAACAAGTCACCTTGGACAGCCAATTGGATCATTGTCTCTTGCAACGTACAAGAGTGGTCCGAGTTCTGTCCCCGTGTCCACTGCGTGTTCGGCCACGAAGTAAACGTTGGCAGAATTTGCCCCTCCATAGCCCCTGAGATGGCTGTGCGATGGCCCGTGATACAATTACAATTATAGGCGCGCAATCGTTACCAAATAGTTTTTATTCTTTAGGTAAGCACAGAGTGTGGAATTTGAACCTGACTTTGGCCAGGGCCTCACGGTAATTGCCGTAACACACGACGACATTGGCACGCACGCAGAGGAGAGTTGCCTGATAATGTTTGTGTTGTTGAGCGCAGTAACATTTCGTAGTGGCACACTACACACAATAGCACGTCTGTCTTAAACTCAGGGTCGGACAGCAGTTAATGTTTGAACTTCACGCTAGTGTGGAACATCTTCACTTGGCGCCGCACCAACATTATAGCCATGGCATTTTTTTTTTAATTCTCAGCTTGTAGCCCCCCTAAAAGTTAAAAAAACCCCGTTAGGCGCGGTGTTGGCATTGGCGCACGGGCACAGCCTGAAAAACACCTCGGCACCACAGTGAACAAGACTGCCTTACAACAACAACAAAACGGCAAGCTAACATGTCTATCTCTTTAACTTGCTCTGGTGAAAAAGAGTCATTGGCAACATCGTCGTTCCCCTGTCAATCACGCGCATACGGGCGCAGCCCTGCCAATTGGTTGCTCACGCCAAGGGCTGGCAAAAAGGGCCTGGGCTAAAAGTAGGTCAAGAGAGACAACCCCCCACCCCCCCCCAACTAGTGAGTATTTGGCCTACTCTTCCATGCTGGGCAGATGTCTTTGAAGCGGTGGGAGTAGCCACACTTTACCCCACCACACGCGACCTGCAGAGAGGCGAACTGCAGTGTGTCCAATTATACTGCTGGGTGGACAGGTGGGCAGATTTTAAAGAAAAGTGTGTAATCGGTGACATTTCAGACAATGGCCCTTCGTCACAGCACAGTCGGCCAGAGAGGTCGAGTGGCATCAACTGTGATAACATATGCGCTGGGGGATGCTTTGGTCAGAACCACACCCGGCCGCTTTTGTCTCCCCAGTGGTGATGTTTACTCCACACCGCACCAGGTCCTCATTTGAGGCTGAGTCGACCTAGGGAAGGCCCAAGACCGGTTCAGATAATCGTCACCGGCGTTGGCCGTGAGCGGGAATCGAACTCGGGTTGCCGAATTCATTGCGCAGCGCGCTAACTGCTACACTACCGCTCCCCAATAAGACAAAGATCTCCCGTATAGCCTTACCAGACTGTTGGGACAAGTGCTGTTAGCAACCACCTATGAAGGCCGGAACGGTACACGATGGGGTGGATGGCCAGCACCACGCACGACCGCCTTTGTCTCCCCAGCGGCGATGTTTACACACCCCACCAGGTACTCATTTTTCGGCTGAGTCGACCTAACAGGCCCAGGACCTGTTCAGATCATCTTCACTGGTGTTGGCCGACTGCTCCCCACACACACGTACACACACACGTATACACAGACGTATACACACACACGTACACGCATACATACACACGTACACACACACACGGACCTACACACACACACATGTACACACAGACGTATACACAGACGTATACACACACACACGTACACACACACGTACACACACACGTATACACAGACATACACACACGTACACACAGACGTATACCCACACACATACACACAGACATACACACGTACACACACACACACGTACACACACACGCCACACGCCAAACTGTCGGCACAACGAATGTGGTCTTGCTGGCACCAACTCCCCTGTGCCAGGCACAGAGCAGCCCTCCTCACACAGCCCCCAGTGCGTTTGGCCACTCCTCACCCCCCCTGATTGATGAGACCTCGAGCAGTGTGGGCTCCTGGGAAACTGGGGTCATACGCTGACCCCTTGCCTGTGGCACAGAGACACAGAGAGAGAGAGAGTTGACGGGCTCCACCCTTTGTTAGCGAGCATCCAGGGGCGTTAAGTGTTTACACAATGCCAACGTGTAAGCGTGTACTCCCCACCACGCAAGGCAAATGAAACTAATTGTTGATTCATTCATTATGTCCACCTACAAATGTACATGCTGTACGAATGTACCTAGAGTAGATATTGTGTGCGGTGTCGGGCTTTGCCCACGACCGTAAACCTCAGTGGCAAAGTCCAGTGGAGAGCAATGACTGTTTACTTACGATCGGGATCTTATGAGAGTTTAGCTTGAGACTTACAGCAATTTGGAACTTTAAGCGGACTCTCAGTCGTAATTTTAGGGCAAAATGCAGACAATTCTAGATTTGAAGCTTTCGTGACTGCAAGAATTCATACTCTTTGGTTATATTCGGTAAAGTCACGTAGGTAAAAAAAAAACAAATTAAAAAATAAAAGAAACAATTAAAACACGACGTTTCAGAGGCAACGCAAGCTTCCGTCTTCAGGTGGGACCAGTCACAGTCAAAATCACTTGGTGAAGTGATCACTTGGTGAAGTGATTTTGACTTTACCGAATAGAACCAAAGAGTACAAAATGCAGACATTTTGGCATTAGGGTAGTTACGGTTGCTTTGGAGAAACAGGACAGCACACACAGAGAAGCACACGGACTATAATGCAACTAATTATTTGGTCATAGTACGTTGGCAGTGGTGCACACACGTAACAAAACAACTTTCACTCATGAACAACGTTATTTTAAGAAATACATAATAGGTGACGTTTTGGGCAAGGGGCCTGCTTCATATTGCTCAAAACGTTTATTTTGTATTGGGTTGCAATTGTAAGTAACAGCTATAATTATCAGACGAGTACATCGAACCGTTCATAATAATTGGTTCACTGCAGCTCAAAGATTCGGTCTGACAAGGCGTGTGGTGAAGTCTGGTAGGTGTCCTATGTGCATGCTCGGCGTTTGAAAGCCTGAAGACCGGGATCGGTGATCTCACCGACAATCAGCCGTATCCGGACAGCAGAGTTACCGGTCATACACCGTATGCGTGATTTCCGTTGAAGGCGGCGTTACGAACGAATGCATTCAGCTTCAACTGTAATGCAGCTCACCTTCAAGACAATGTTACGGCAAAGTGTTGTTGCAAACTTGCCAAAGTACTCGAGTGATAAACGAATGCCACTGCAGGTTGTATTATTCACTTCCCGTCTGTAAATGCGTGTTGATGTGTAAAACAGTTTTGCAGATAAACCACTCATGACACACCAGGACCTGAGAACTCAATCTGCTAAAGGTAATGAATAACTTTTATGGATTTCGCTACATTTGATAGGCGGTTCTACATCGTCAGCACACGAACAAAGACAGTCTGCTGCTGCTGCTGCGTGAACTATGTAGAGGTGAGTATGGCGCATAAAAGGGACTGGTGTGGCTACACACCATGCCCTGCCACCTTTGTCTCCCCAATACCGATGGTTACACACGAAATCCGATACTCGTTCAAGACGACCTTGGGGAGATCCGAGACAAATACTGACACCGCTCACCACTGGCATTAGCCGTGGCTGGGACTCGAACTCAGGTCACCAATTTACTCGTGCAGTCTGTAAAACAAACCACTACACCATCACTTCCTACACACACACAGCAAAAACACTCAGTTGACATGAAAGAAAAGTGTCTTTAATTGAAAATCTGGAAGCAGAGAGCACCGCGTTTGCTAATTGCTATTCTGCTAGTGAACCACACGATTCCCACCAGCTTGTATTGACAGGCATCACTTGTATCTGCATGTACACGCTAAGCCCACACACTATGTACAACATTCACACTCTCAATGCCATCGGTCAAAAACGCCAACAATATAAAAGCTCCAAATTTGTAAAAATGAAGCAAAAAAAATGTCACTTTCAACAATTTACTTGCGATTTATGTTTAATTTTGGCAGTACCACGAGTAACTGTTACACCGAGCTGGTTGTTGGGAGGGTTTATGAATCTCTTCACTCTGAAATGGCAGTAGGGCGACGTAGCTGCGTTGTTGTTGTTGTGTGTTATTCGAGAAGAGCCGTTGCAGCAAATACATTGGAGTATATAAAAGTGCTGACAAAGATCTGCAATTACATACAAGCCCGGTCTTTACTGCATCGACCAATGCAGCCAATTAAGTTGAAACTCTACTACAAATAATAAAATGAGCAGATGTAGTAAGTACCAAACACTGGCAGTGGTTTTAACAAAGTGTATTGGGTTGTGTTCTGCACTTTAATTTGTATTTTAAAAAATCATTGTTTTTCACGTGACACGTTTAATGCAATTATATATGTTATTTTAACTTTTCCCCCCCATCATCACATTTTTAAATATAAATACTTTCTTTTGAATGCTTCGTTGAGCACAACAGTAAAATTCGCGAGTGATTTGCCAAAATGTAGAAACTATATCAGGTGAACGTATGTTTTTAATACCAAAAAGGCGTTCAATGCTTTATTTGCAGCTGAATTGTTTTTCAAAAAGACATTCTTTATTCAGGAGGAATGGTTAGTTTTTGTCATTGTGGAAAAACAGAAGCTAATACAAATGTGCAATTAAAATGATTCAAGAGCACAGGACCTCATTAGATCTTAAACTTCCTGAAGCAATGAATGACTCAGCTTCTCACCTATCCTCATTTGTTAAGAAATAATTTAAGTGTTGCAGGCAAAAGCTACGGTTGTACCATTTCTCGACAATTCCGCTGATGAACAGGACCTAAAACATTTGTAAATTAGATCTTGCACAAAATATTCATCTATACTCTCTTGTCCTTTAATTATTCTTTAAAAAAGCTTCCCACTTAAAACAAAGTCATTGCACAGCAGTTCTTTCCATGGTAAATGATCGCACCAACGATGCAGAGTTGTGTTTTCTTAGCTGATAACTTTTGGCAGTAAAACAGGCAGCGGAAACGGTAGCTGTGATTAGTCTGAAGTCAGCGGAAGAACGGAAACGGGGAACAAAACGACTACGTAGGTTTTTGCGGTTGTGTGGTACCATCTCCCACCCCCCCCCCCTCCCCAATGCATTTTCGGGTTTGCACTGCGGGGCGCATTTGTTAGGCACGACGTCCGGCATTTCCCTCCACGTGCTGGGAGCACGCCACGCCTGCCGGGAAAAAAACCCGCATCAGTCCTCTCGAAGCTCCCGGGGCACGTGCAGTGAAACGTGAGGAATCGTGCTGAACAACAAAAACAACACGTGCCCAGTACGACCCCACAACAGGTCGGAGAGAAGCACGTTTCTGTTCATCGTGGTGGCGGGCAAGCGCGTCACAGTCCTCCATTCTCCAACCGGAACGACCCAGAGTCTCTTCCGCCGAACGGCCACCTTCAGTCGAGCTGCAGCTCGCAGGGATTGTCTCCGGTGGATCGTGCCTGCTCGTATGCCCTCCTGAACCCTTCGTACCAGGGCGCGCAGCCAAGCCACGCCTGGCCAAAGTGCAGGCCTCCGGTGAACAGGAACGTGCCTTCGCCGTGCTTCACACCGCACCAAAGCGGCGTCCGCACCTCTCCCAGCATCCTCGGCTCGTCTCCCAGCGTCCTCTGCTGCTCTTCCAGAGTCCTCGCCCCATCCCCCGCAGTCCTTTGCTGCTGAAAAATCTTCTCTTTTTGCTGGAATACTTTGGCGATGGAGACTCTGACGATGGATTGGCCTTCTCCCTTGTCGTGTGACACAGACGTGATTTCACCCTTTGCCACTGCGAGCGAAAAAGGAGAAAATTAACAGTTAGAATAAATACAAGCAACCGCGACTGGAATTATATTTAAAAAAACTGCCCTATACAGCTTTGCATGCAGACCCATAGGTAAATGGCAAAAACATTATCCAAAAAATATAGAGGTTTGTTGCATGGAGTCCTCCAATGTATCGTCGTCACTGGTTTTATGGATGAAATAAATCAGTTTCTCAGCAGTGTGTAGAAATAAGCTCTGTATGTTTTGGTGTAACTCTGCTCTTGCCTTTCAGAATGCAGCAATTACTTTAATTAGGGGGGGGGGGGGGTAATGATTACCAGTGAATGCCCAAACAAATTGAACTTTTTTTCCACCATAAAATGAAAGAGCGACCTGTCCCCGACATAAAACAAAGCAAGTACTGGAAGGCAATGTTACGTGCAGAATAACATGCCAAGGTATGAGCTCCACGTTCTGGGCAGTCAACATTGGTGGACCTAAAGAGCGAATGGACTTTCCATCGGAGCACGCAATTTCCACCAATGGCTCAATCCCGAAAAAACAAAGTGAGCACTGTGCTCACGGATGCAGCTCCGCTTCTTTGACACCTGTGACATGGATTACCGAAAGCCACATGCACGCGGCACCAAGCGTGATCCTGGGCAATGCGAGCAGACAGCGAACGCGCCTGTGGTGAAGCGTACGCAAGCTGAAACGAGGGTTTGGACGCGAGCTGGCATGTCGCCACGCGCCCGCCCGCCCGCCCACTCGATCGCTTGCAGGTGGCGCTGGATGCACACACAGCCGCAGCTGCGGTGGAGCCTGCAGCCAAGGGAGAGGGCACGGCCGCTAATTCAGACTGCTGAGGTCTGCTTAAGTGTAGGAAACGATGACCCTACCTCGTGACTCTGCGGGCGTGCGGCCAGTCAGCTTGCCCATATCCATCCTCCCCCCCCCCCGGCCCATCTCCATCTCTCCCCCTCCATCCTACTCATTCTCCTCCACCCCCTCCCTCTGCCCCCCGCCCCCTACACACAGCATATCTATCATTCCACCAGCCTCAGCGGGTTCGGGAGTAGTGTTACGCTAACTAGTGGAAAGTCCACGCGGCTCTCCGATGGCTCAAGTACAAGGCCCCCCTGACCTCTCTCTGCCACCAGAGACCTCAGAAGGGCAACGCAGGAGCATCGATCACTGAGCACGGCGGTTCGCTGCGGGCCGAAGGGGCTTGGCTGTTGTTGTTTACCGGCCACGTCTCTGCTGCGTGTTGGGCTGCAGCAGGCAGTAGTGCACGCCTTGTGCATTCTAAGAGGCAGCAGGGGCATAGGACTGTGGTGACGGACAGGGTGAAACTCTGCCAAGTTCTCTGCTCGCTCACGCTGCCGGAAAAGGTCGTAATTGCTGCTTCTTAACGTCCAAGATGTGGCACTAATTTCATCTGTGTTTATGGGCTTTGAGGAATCTGATATTGCTGCAGAAACCTCAAGCCATCATCCCCCCCCCCCCCACCGCATATAATTGTGAAAGCATTGTTTGTTTAAATATGATGAAAGTAACAAATAATAGTGATAGATGTTAATCAAAAGTTATATTCACAGTATGAAGTTTAATTTTTAAAAAATCTAAATTATGCGATTTAAACACTCATTTGTGTGACTGTTATACACTGTACACCTTACATTGTAGCATTTACTTCGTGTAGATGTAACTTTGGACAACCAAAAAGTTTATATTTTAGACTTTGATTATAATATTTCGAGTTTACCAGCGTCCTGTATACAATAAAGTTCTGGAGTACACATTACCATATCAGAGAAGTTAAAATGTAAACTTTCCTAAAGCAACATTTCAGAGTGAAACACCAGGCGTTGCATCATCAGTGCAGTGTCTTTGGCATCTGGGAGGAGGGGCACTGGAGTGGATGATCAAAGAGGCCACTCGTTACACCAGGCCAGACCACACCAACATCCATCCCCACACCCCTCCTCGTAAATCTGCACCACAGCAGGTGGCCCGCCGAGAGTCCGTTGCTGAAGAAATAAAAGCGTCGATACTCCCCGATGGGTTCAGATCTTTATTTGTCCTGCCCCGTGTCTTCCCGTGGCGTTTAGTAAACAGCCATTTGCCCCAGTATGTCTTGACTATGTGGTGACAGGGCTGGCAGTGTGGTGTGAAAAGTGGCTCCCAATCAACAGTGGTCAGCATGGGGTCCCTTTTAAACAAATGCAGCAGGGATTGAGCGGTTTTCCAAAAAGCGCAACTTTCATATTTGTGTCAGCGTACTTAAAAAAAATAATGGAGAGTGGGACGTTTATCGCCTCAACTATTGCCTGTTTCACGCACCAACCATTTTAATATATCATGCACGATTATAAAATGTTCACGCACCTTCTTTAAAACCGAATTCTGCTTGTTTACAACGAGGCCCTCTGTTCTTCAGGGTCAATTTTGACTTAAACCACCACAAGTGCACACAGTAGCCAAACTATTCAGCTACTTTTCTCTGTTTAGGCTAGGGGGCCGTCTTAAATACAAACTTTACTTATCCCCTTCTAACTGTATGACTACTAAATAATAATGTTCATAATGTGTCACCTTTTATGCTGGATGAACGCCTCCCCATGCCACATTGGTCACGGAGGTTTTTGACCATAATTCACCATGCTGGCGAGTGCGGGTTGGGGAAGGGGGAGACGCAGGACGCCTTCAGATGTCACGAGCGTCGAACTCGGGCCGTTACGTCCATCGCGCAGTGCGCCAACCACTAGGCCACCGCTACTTGACGAGCACAAAAGGCGCGCACAGCGTCACGAGACCTTCGACCGCCGGGCAGTGCACGTCATTCAGTCTGCCCACCGTAAGCTTCCTCGCTGGCGTGTCCCCATCCACCCAGCGGCCACACAACCTTGGACTTTGCGCGTTGACTGATAACAGCAGGTGAGCGCGCCGCTGTGCCCCGGACGCACCGACAGGGCGAGACCCGAATGGGACGGTGGATTTGCATGCGAGTGGGATTTGGAGGCGACGGGGTTTGTTTGACTCACCAAAGTCACTGACGCAGGCAGCCATCAGCATTTCCGCATCGCTGCAGGGTCTGCAGGCATCTACGGACAAAGACATTGTATCATTTGAGCTCCCAATCGATTGCTTGCGTGTGCAACTCACAGACGCCGGCACACAATGTTTGCGCTGCTTTGGGGCGAAAAGTCGCATTTGCAAGACATTCATGGCAGGATAGGAAGAAGCCTTTAGCAAATTAACAAATGCAGCCACAAATGCAGATATTTATCAGCAGAATAACTTGCTGCTGCGCTTGAAGTTCAAACTTTCTGCAGCTTGCTTTTGAATGGACTGTACTCGTGACACGCCAGAATGGCCAGATGGTTGTGTGTTCCAGCAGAACTTGTAGGTATTGCATGTTAAAAACGTATTATTTCGCACCGTACGTAACCTACCGTGCTAATCGGAGGTGTTGAGGGAAGGACAACAAACCAAACGCATGAAAAAACTTGGTGTATATGATCGACTAGACCGCCCAACTAAAAGAGGCAACAATCAACAGTAATGATGAATTCCTTGGTCCAATACCTTGCGGCAGCTTTAGTTTGTTTTCTATTTTATTTTGGCGGACAGCAAAAACGTGACCTTACGACAGCGCGCAGACAAAGCCGGCGACCTTCTCCACCGCGCAAATGAAGTCGGACAAAGACAGTCCGAAGACGGCTTAAACATTAAACCCGAGACATTAACCCATTTAACAGCATGTTCGACTCGTGCCTCCGACTGCGAACTGGGCCGCACCGCCACAGTTTAGATTAACATCTTAAAAGCTTTCCTGCAGTCGCCGTGTCGAGCAGATACGGGACTGGGTGGGTGGGGGTGGAAGACAATGGTTCATCCTCGGGAGGATCCAAGCTTTTGAAAGGACCGATTCTATGGCGGCGGTGTTGCTGCCCGCCACCTCACCCCCCCCCCGCCCCACCCCACCCACAGCTGTGGCGTGAATGGCAGAGCTGGTCACACATCGGGCGACCGGGGGTGCCAGGCAGATTGATGGGCTCTGACTTGTTTGCAGAGGAGCATCCCAGCGGGGTGGTAAACATCGGCTCAAACTCCCAGATATAAATTTGGGAAGGCGGACAGCCCCCCCCCCCCCTGCCCGCACCCTGAGAAAGCGTTACTCTTTCTCGCAGCAGAGCGCTTGGAAAAGGCCCCCCCCCCCCCCCAACTTACCATTGCTCACACCGAGAGCACACAAGGGCAGCACAAAGTAATTTAAAACGTGCGTCGCTGCGGCTGTAATTAAAATGCAGTGAGTGTACAATAACGTTTTTTTTTTTAAGCCACGCGTGCAAAGAAAATACCGCTTCGCTTATTGGTCTCCATGATCTGTTTTCAATTTAGGAAATCGTAATTTGCAGTGCATCCTGCCAAAAGGGACCTTAAAAGGTGGAGGGGGTGGGAGGAGAGGGGTGTAACCGCAATACTCTGCATTGTTCGGGGAAAAAAGCAAATAGGGGTGTTCAGACGAGATCCTTGCTTGATCCAAAGACAATGGGGGTAGATGGCATCCCGACTCTTATTGCTCGTGTAGCATGTGGCTTTAGTTGCAAAGGTATCCACGAGCAGTAAATGATCAACCCCTCCCTTTTTGTCATCCACCGCTGTTAGGATAAAAAGTCAAACGCTGCCCACTGCAAGGGAGCAAGTAGCAACACGTGCCTATGGCACGGTAGAAGGCGAGAGACCTGGTCCCTGGAGAGTGGCAAGGTGCAGTGGGCACCGCTGCATCCAGAGACGCAAGCGTACGTCTCTGCTCGCACAGTGGCCTCGTGCAGAAATGTTGCGGGGGATGCTTTGTGCACAGCCCGATTGGAAACACCTGCCGGAGGCACATGCCGTTACCTGCGTCATGATTTGAGGAATGGTATAGCGGTGTACGGTAATAGAGATTGAATGAAAATATAATTCAACCCAAGGCAAATCTGTGGAGAGGAAATATACAGGAAACTGCTTTGACCTGCAGTAATCCAAAAGGCCGGCCGATATTTAGCCAGGAGCACTGTATTTTGAATTGCTTCTCCGCGTGCATTCAACTCATCTCGCTACCACGGAAGAGGGAGTCCGCCAAAGACGTCCCTCTCTCGCCCACCCCTTCAGCACCCCCCCCCCCCCCATCAGAGCCCCGAGCTGAAGAGACCGCTCACAAAGGCCTTCATTATTGGCGCTCATGTCCGCGCTTTCACGCGCCCGTGCAGACCGCGCTCCTTCTCTCTCTCCCTCCCGTGCACTCGCTATGCGTGCACGAGAATGCACATGAAGTATCGGGGCACAGTGATTAGAGCTTAGTGCGCTGGGATTACGGATTAGCAGGCGATTCACGCGGGACGAGGCGTGCGGGCAAGGGGGAGACCCTCCGAATTGGAGAGAGAGGTGGTGGAAGGGAGTCACATGATCACGGACTCGAATCGTAGGAGTCACGCCTCTTCTCATGTGACCACGGACTTGTGTCTCGCTACATTGAAGCGGGTGGATTATTATTAAACCACCCTCCTTCCAACCACCACCACCACCACCTCCACGAGCGATAATTATAAGGTCGTCCAAACATTCGTCTGCAGAATAGGACTGTGGGTGAGCCCAACCCACGAATTGCAATGGGAGCAAAAGAAGGCCCTCGATTCTAACTGCAGTTGGCAATTGCCTGCCAACTCCATAAAACTTACCGCTACAGTTGGAGAGGTGGGGGCAAAAAAAGATGCACTGCTTAGTTTGGGTGGTTATTCAACTTTGTATGCAAAACTAACTTTACAACACCCTGCATTGTGCCAGTGGGCCTGGGGCACTTAATAAAGTCTTTTTTTGTTCCAAACTCAGTGAGCTCAGCATTTCCTTAACCATTAAGAATGTTAATTAATACCTGGGCTAAACCCTTAGCAAAAGAGCAAGCGTGTTCCACCTCCTCAATAAATTACCCCCTTCCAGCCCACAGGCAGAGACGGCTCCCTTGAGATAAGCGAAAACATTAAGAAAAGCCCACTCCATCTTGTGGATGAGGGGGCTGGGAGTGAATCAGCAGGGGAGTGGTTGTATGCTGCTTGGGTGAGGGTGGTGGTGAAGGGAGAATTGTCAGGAAGGGGGGAGAAGGATACGGGGGGGGGAGGAGTGCAGAAGAAATGAAAGGTGGACTTAAATTAAACCCAACCCCAGCTGTGTGTACATAGCAAGCAACAAGCCAAACATAGCCCCCAGCAAAAATGGCTGTCACCAATAATGAAGAATGTTTTTTTGCTGGGGATTGCGATGGAAGCCAGATTATCAGTTTCAGCAGCGCAGACGATTTCACATACCACGGTGTCTTTTGTGCCTCTGTTGCCATCGTGCAATTTCGAGGCCCTTGTGTGCGTCCTGCACGTGTGCGAATACTAACTAGGGGAGAGTGCAACGGGAGATTGTACCCCCCCACCACCCCCCGCAGCCCAAAAGCCACCGGCACATTCACAAAATCCCCCGCACTAGATTGGAAGAGAAGCTCCTTGGAATGAGCGTCTGCCACTATGCGCACTTATTGATCTCAAATTAATGGTGCGCTCCTCCGAATGCATCCACTTACACAGCTGGTCTTAATACACACACACACACACTGCAATGGAAAGAAAATCCTCGGAGATGCCAAAGGATTGCAGTTTCACTCGCCGATAGGAACATCTGGGCACACGCACTTACACATTTTGCTATATCTGACCTCTTATGGCCTCCAGCGTTCAACACGAACAGGGCCTTGCACAACGTCGGTGAGCAGTGCAACATCAACTATGCGGATGGCCTCCACAACAAGCCTATTACTTCGAGAAGAGAAAATGCACGTTTATTTTTAGCGGGCGGTGGGGGGGGGGGAGCTTTAGATTTCTCCTCCGTTCAAAAGGGCGCAAAGTTCCGTGTGGTGTTCACACATAAAGTGGCACTTGGCTCCTTTTTCCGCGGCCGCTATGTTTACGTTTGGCACACACAACGGCGGCGCGGGCGCTTCCATTTGTGTGCGCGCGCTTCTCAGCCGTCTCAGGGCCATAAACTTACGACTGTAAATAAGAGCGTGTTATCCCCCAAAGCTGGCGCGAGTGAATTTAAAATCAAAGCCCAATGAAGAACAAGGCAAGGGTCCGGAGTTTATATTATCGCGCTGTCTTTATGAACTTTCCAGGAAAGCATTCCAGCGGCCGAAGAAAACACTGCAGAGAGAGCAACAAAAATGTTTTTGTTCCAAGCTAGCAACTGGAATTAAGACAGTGTTTTGACATGTAATAACAGAGTACTCCAAATTAGATTTGGTTCGTGGCCATATAAATAAGAAGCAAGATTGGTTGGACGTGTGCACTTGTTGATTAAATTCTTACCTCGGACACAAAAACCCCGAAACAAAACGTCTTCACACTGGGAAAGGGCCTGAAATATTACTGGCAGAAAAGTACGGTATTGAACTGCTCAATTGCTGCTGCTGCGAATAGACATCTTACGGATGTTAAACGATGTGCCACCCAAACAATTGAACACACGAAAAGCTTGACTCATAGCTGTGCATAATCCTTAAGAGTAACATATATGATCAATTGGCCAATTGGTGGTTCTATTACAGACCTGTGGCAGGGTGTTATAGCAGTCAGCCCCCTCACAATTGAGCCAGTTGAATGAATGTATCTGCACAGCAGTGTTACGGGGCATTGCCAAAGGATTTGTGAGATGGTTTTGATCGACCTTTTAAAAAAGTTGCAACATGTTTGCTATGCTAGTTTTTAAGCAAAAATGCAATTTAAAAACAAAGATAACTCTGATCACATGCGCAGTGGAGCAACATTCATCTTTGCTGACAGACTTTGTTGAAATTACACATTCCTATGACCCGGGCCAATCTTTTCATGTAGGAACCACTATAGACTTACTGTAAAGTGGCACTAAAATCATCGACCCAGTGATACTTAATTTAACGGCCCAAAGTGGGATAATATAAATGTTATGTTCCAAAATATTTCATTTTTATATATACTGTATATGTGAATATGACATAGTCGCGTTAGCAGGTAGGTTGCTTTGTGGCCCAAGTCAGAATTACAAGGTTGCAACTTCAAATGCCGGTTCGACAATGCCCATCATCCCTCGTGGATTGAAATTTGAGTACCGCGTTGTGTGCAGTCCACGGTTCTCAACCCATCGGGGAAAACAAAACCTTTTCCCTGACATGGGAATGTCGAACTTTTAGCACTCAGGTTTGATCATGGAGAATTCCGACCGCTCTATTGCTGGCTTGTATTCAACACACTTGAATGTATTTCTCACAATACAACCGAGTGGAAAAGGAGATGCCAGGTTTTTCCCACTCCATAACCCGCTCCGTGTCCGTCGATGTCACACGCAAATGAAAGGAGCGGCTGCCAAAACAGCCCTGACCGTGAAGATCCCACACGCTGACACAGCTTGCATGTCTGTGCCAGTGGAAAAGGAGGCATTCAACCCCAACGGGCACACAGAGCGCCAAGGCGGCACCTGCAGTGCAGCAACACAGCAGCAGCGCGGCAGTGCCAGGTTGTGTGGGCCCTTACCGTCGGGGTCGCCCGCGTCCCTGCCCGGCACGACCACCTGGGCCCCCTCGGGCCGCAGCTCGTAGCGCAGCGCCGTCACCTTGCGGCTGATGTCGGTCTGCGGCACCGCCTGGATGAAGAGCGCCGTGGCGGCCCCTCCGTCGTCGCGCTCGCCGTGGCCCGCGGGCACGCAGTGCACGCGGCCCGAGCCGCCCGACGCCTCGTCCACCGCCAGCTGCAGCTCGCCGGGCCGCTCCACGTACACGTTGGCGCCGTGCGAGCCCGGCAGGGGCTTGAGGCACACGACGAGGCGCCCGCCCCGCGCCATCGCCGCCGGCGCGTGCAGCAGCACCCGCAGGGCACCGCTCGGGTAGAGCCACTCGAGCGAGCCCTGCGCGCAGTGCAGCGATAGCTGCACGATGCTCGCCGTGCCCGGAGCGATGAGGGTGTCGGTGAGGCCGCTGCACGACAAAAAACGGGGGGGGGGGGCGGCACATTTGGAATCGCAACGTTGTAAGAGACTGGAGGAATCCGATGAGCTGTAAAGTTACGTTTCACAGATGCACACCCAGAAGGGGCACGAGGTCAGAAAGTTACAACAACAAACAAAGTATAGTCAAGGGGAATAATTCACGAAAAATATATTTATTTTTCCCAGCTAAGACCCAGCGAGCTGTTAGCTTCTTTTCCAAAAGCTACCTGGCCACAAACGATATCTCAACAAAGTGGCTTATCACGTGGAACTATATAGTAGCCAAATAATCAAAATCATCGAAACACTAATAACTTAGGTTTCCCCTTCAGAATAAACTCATTTGATGGACTCCGTTGCCACCCACCACCCAGGTTTAAAATGAGAAAATAATTATACAACGTACAATTCTCTGTCAATCACTTTCTGGATGAAGTCCTCTCCATACTGCGTTGACCATGATGGTTGTTTGACCATACTTCACCATGCTGGTCAGAGTAGGTTGGAGACCAAGGACTGGCTCGGATATCATTCGCCACTTTTGTTAGATTCGACTGCAAATGGAAAATAGATCGCTGGATTCATAGCACAGTGTGCAAACCACTGTGCCACATTGCTGCCAATGTTATTAAAATAGCTGGGTGGTGCTGTCGTTTGCGCATACGACCCAATCGGAAGTTCACATTCGGATCAGGAGCTGACTCACAGCCCAGTCCCAGCTCTGAGGATGATGAGCAAAATCTTTTGGAGGATGTGAGCAATTGTTGTCAGACGGAATAGCCATTACCATAGGAGCATGGAATTCACACCAACGGCTCAAGGCTGCAAATGGAGATTAGATGCATCCCAATGTTCTTAATATTGAATACTTTGGCGTTTTTTTATCATCGATGTTACCGATAAGTGCATACATTTCGTCACACATACCCCATTTAATTTTGCACGGTGTATCGTGAGGGATCAGTGGCAACATAGCACACTGTGTTATGAACCCGAGGACCTCGGTTTAATTCCCAACACCAGTTCAGCGAGTTCTGAACTGGTTTACCCTCCCAACCGCTTCAACATCCCAGCGTAATGAAGAAGGATGGTCAAGACAAACTCCGTGAGGGGAGGCCGTTCATCCGGCAGTAAATTTACTGCCGGATGAGCCGTACTTTACATTTGTTTTGTTCGTGTGGGATGGACATGCTTTTAAAACAGAGCTGAACGCAGCTCACTGATTAGGTGAGACAGGTCCTGTGAAGCAGAACTCTACATCTGCCTACGCATTGTGCTTAACTGGGAATTTGAATGGAATTTGAATATTTAAATGTTTACATTCAAATGAGTTTCGCTTCTGTACGTGTACATATCTAATTGCACCACATATCTATGGTGGGGTATTGTGGGCGATGGCAATGAGATGCGATAGATTTTTTAAAACAAATCATTATTCACTCAATGACTCACTCCGTGCAAGTAATGCCACGTGTTATAGGGAAAGAAAGCAAACAGAACGCACCTACATAGCCAGGTAAGCAATTGGGTGAGAACATCCGCAAACAGCATGGGTGTGCAGCTATGCATGTATAGCCTCCTCGCGGTAAGCATGCTTGCCTGAGCTACTGAGCCCAGGAGCAAAGTTGTCTAACAACCTCAGAGAGCGTTCGTGTATCAGAAGAAATTATTCGATTCCATCTAAACTAAACAGTTTTTTTTTATTTACCAGGTAAGACTCACTGAGCTACATGGCTGTCTTTCAGAAGCGACCTGGTTATCACAAATGATAGCCCAATGAAGTGGCTTATCACATGGAAATGCATAGCAGCCAAATACTCTGAACACAAGTTTCTAAACGTGGAGGGAAAAACCGGAGAACCCGGAGAAAAATCCACACGATCACGGGGAGAACATGCAAACTCCAAATATACAGGTGTCAGAGTTGGGATTGCACCCATAACCACCTGTATACCGAGCAAAGGATTTAGCACATCGCCACTGCGGCGCCCCTGTTCATTTATTGCTTCAAGGACATTGCCAAAGGAGGCCTTCAGTTGTTCGGTGGACGTAAAAGACTGAACGTTATTTGCATGACCGATAAAAGGAGCTGTGCTTTTTCCACTTTTATTACTCAACGTAGCATTTAAATAGACTGAGATAATTCAACAATGAGAAACTACTTAAAAGCTCACAACAATATTATGTTACGTCAGTTTAACACGTAGGTCTTTCGCGACCAATATCATCCGATTATGTGATGTATTTATGCTAGAGTCAACAATATGGTCTACAAACACCAACGAACTCATGAATACATGGATCCCCACGGACGCTTCATCTGCTTAAATAAAGGAACTTAATGGAGCAGGGAACGTCATTGCCTCGCACCTGATTAAACACAATTAACACACGCGAAACGCGAATATCAATGGGGCACTCACGTGGCTGGAAAAGAGAATTAAATCCCTAACTCCTTATGCACCGTTGCTCTATTTGCTCTCCGTGCAAAACAATGGGCAAAATTACCCCCTCCCCCCCCGGCTGTAGGTAACTTTTGTTCGTCAGTGAATGGAATTCCCAATGAATTGCCGAACGTAGGGCCACCCATTCCATTCGCCCCTCCCCCCGAGGTTACGTGCTTTCCCCGTTCGTCTCATAACGGGAGTCAAAGACTGAAGGAGCAGTTGCTGCTGTAGCGTCGCGATTGCATAGTGCATGCCCCCAAGCCCTCCCCGCGGCCGTATCCCGGCCAGAGTCACTGGGCGAAGGGTTAAAGAAGCCGACCGGTGGTGGCCATTCACGGATCAATTTGCTTCAATCAAGCTGGGCTGCCCTTGGCTGGGCATCGTCGAAGGACCTAGGGCAGTGTTTTTCACTCATTTTCAGAGGTGGGGTGGGAGGAGTGGGGGGGGCACTTTCGCCGATAAGACATCGACAGTGTGAAGAGAGTCGCCACGCATTTGAAAAAAATTGGGGTTTGACAGCCACGATGACGGAGGCGTTTTCACTCTTTGTGTACTGTTGGGGGGCCCGCACACGTCACGGGCCGCACTGAAGGGCACCAGGCGCCCCATTGGCCCGCGGGCCTTGCAATGAAGAGCATCGGGCTCGGTGGACGGCCTCTTTGGAATTCAAAATGACGATGGCAAGCCCCTTTAAATGCCCGTGAGCCTCTACGGCGATATAAATCCGGCAGAAGCAACGCTAACGCACAGCTCGACAGACTTGAAACCACGCGCGCTTTTATCTCGTCTCATCTCAGCAGGGTTAAGGCAAGTTCTTGGGATGTGCGAGGCCACCTTGTGTCAAACACACGCGTCGTAGGCCCCGTGGGCAGTAGAGGGCAGTGCAGCAAATCCCATCCTTCTGGCCCCCCCCCCCCCCCCCCCATCTTCACTCACCACTGCCTCAACAGCACGGGGAGGCTCTCATCCAACAGTGGATGGACACCGACACGTACAATGCTATCTTGAACACGCCTCCGGCCCTTTGCAGGGCGGGGGGTTGGTTGATCACATTGATATTCGTGAAACTCTTAAATACGCTAGGCTGCAGAGTGCTCACAAGATGGCAGTGCAACAAGTGGGCCGCCAACCAAATCTGTGCGGACCTTTGAGCATCATCCCCCTCGTCTGCGTGGGGTTGCCAAACACTCATAAATGGAATTTGCCAAACATCCCAATGTACCAAGCATGATCGTCCATGGGGGTGGGGTGGGGGGGGTGTACGTGTCCCGGGGCAAATCCCACCGTGTGGGCCCCCCGACGCCTTCAAACTTAAACGGGAAGTATAAAATCTGACACAGCGAGGGTGAAGCGCGACCACACCCCCAAAGCACGGGGCCCAGGGCGGTCGCCCCGATTCGCCGTCCCCTCTAGGGAGGGCTCTGGTAGCAAGCGCTGCACTGAAACACAGTTGCGAGACTCATTGAGACTTTTATGGATAAGATAAGGCCATTGCATTGGTAATACCAATGCTACCCTAAATTTTTAATACAATCCTCAGTGCACCATGGGCCAGCGAAAGTATATGCGAGTCTGTGTGCACTTAATCTCTTTCTCCAACAAATATCTAACGGGCGTTGACTCTAACGGATAATCTGGGGGGGTACAACGGCTGTACTATTCTCCACGATCGTTTAAAAACCAAACCGTGTCTCAATCTTCTTCCAGACAGGGACTGGTGATTGAAGGAAGGACGTCAACCGATCAATGCAGCATCACGGTCCTCATGTCGCCTTGCACATTCATTACGATCCCTGCAATAATGTCATACAAGCGTCTTACTATGTCTCCTCGAATGCGTGGGGTTTCTCCCGCACGCAACAAAACCACCGTTAGGCCTACTTCAGTATTGTGGACAAGCGATCCCAAGCAGAACTGTTCATAAAACGCAAAAAAAGCATTGCAAGTGGCGGTTATGTATTGCAGTGGCGCTGCTAATATGTACCACAGGTTAAATAATATCTAAAGAGGACGGGACGCAGTTAACCACAGAGTGAATACCGAGAAAGCGAGATGAACTCGAAGAGCTAAGGAGGCCACTGCAGGATAAGAACAACGGAAAGAAGCGGAATTGAAAATAGGGGGGGGGGGGGGCGAAAGAGCCATTTGTTCACTACCAGTTGGAAGTTACACCACCACACATAAACTAAAGCTATTTTAAAACTAAAACCATTTTTTTTACTAGGTAAGGCTCATGTGGGAATTTATAGCAGCCTTAAACGCATGTTTCTAAATGTGGAGGGGAAAACCGGAGGACCCGCAAAAAAATCCACGCGACCGCGGGGAGAGAGAAAAACATGCAAAGTCCAAACATGACAACAAGCGTCAGAGGGCTCGGGATCGAACCCACGTCCTCGCCTGTCAATCAGCAGGCGAGGTCCTGAACGTCTCAGCACCACGCCATGAGCGACGAGTGAACGCATTTAAGTAGTCCCGTGTCGCTTTTCATCAACCCAACAACAAATAACAATCACGCTGCGCCAGTACAACAAAAACCACACACACACAGAGAGAAAGGTGATGTCACGCTGCGTTCATTCGTCCTCCAAGCGAGTCCGAGCAGCTCCAACCACCACCATCCCCGTACACACAATTAAATGATCACCCGATACGGTTCGCGTCCTGTTGTTGTTGTTATTATTGTTGTTGTTGTTCAAGTTCCGCAACACGTACCTGCCCTTCCAGTTGCAGTTGTCGACATGGGCCTGCGCCCTGTGCGGGCACAGCAGCAGCAGCATCATCATCAGCATCATCACCAGGTAGCCCAGGGCAGCCCAGGCAGGCAGCCTGCTGCACGGCCGTCTCCTCCAGCACGGCATGTCCGTGCGCCTGCGGCGAGACGCGAGCCGCTGATGTTGGTGCGAGGGAGCGGGATCCCTTGGTGGAGCGGGATCCCTTGATGGAGCGGGATCCCTTGATGGAGCGGGATCCCTTGATGGAGCGGGACCCCTTGATGGAGCGGGATCCCTTGATGGAGCGGGTTCCCTTGATGGAGCGGGACCCCTTGGTGGAGCGGGATCCCTTGATGGAGCGGGATCCCTTGATGGAGCGGGATCCCTTGATGGAGCGGGATCCCTTGATGGAGCACACGGGAGCGGGGAGGGAGATCCCAGAGGGCTCCAAGCAGATCGTCTTGTCCTCGAGCGGCACCGGGCGCGCTCGCCGTTGATGCTGGTGATGGTTGTTGGTCTGTAGAAGCAGAACTTTTTTGTTTTGTGTGTGTAAAAGTCGGCTACATTACTCGCAAACTTCGCACGACCGTCGTGTGCTCCACAAAGCTGGCTAGCTGCTCCTTGACGCGCATTCAAATCTAAGGTCGACGCAAACCGAGTTTATACCACATAACAAGAAGAGGAACAAAAAGCGCTTCTCAAAATCCTCTCTCTCTCTCCTCCTCCTACGCGCGGAGTTTGTGCTCGCTGCGCTGCCGCATGCTAGAGTCTGTGGCGACGCGTGTGAGTGAGTGAGTGTGGTGCCCTGCGCCTGCACCCCTTGCATGTTATAGCAGGAGTTGAAACGCAGCGGAGTGGGGAGATGGAGGGGCGTGGGGAGGCCGTGCCGGGGTAGGGGGGGTGAGCAGAGTGGGCGGGTGGTCTGGCAAAAGATTTCGCGCCCAAAGGCTCTCAGCAAACTTCAGACAAAACTTCTCTCCTCCTCCTCCCTCCCTCCCTCCACCCTTCTTCCCCTCTCGCTCTGGATTCGCTGCCGGCCCCGGGCTGCCACGCAGCGCCGCCTCGGTGCAGCAGCAACAACAAAAACACAAAACAGGAGCGCAAAAGTTTTCGCGTCTTGGGTGAGCCCCCCCTAGCGGGAAGACACGAGCGTGATGGATCAACGACTTGCTGCCAGTGCTGCGTGTGTGTGTCTGTGTGTGTATCTGTGTGTGTGTGTCTGTGTGTGTGTGTACCTGTGTGTGTGTGTCTGTGTGTGTGTGTAGCGGTTAGCGCGCTGCGCTATGAACCTGGCGACCCGGGTTCGATTCCCGCTCACGGCCAACACCAGTGACGATTATCTGAACCGGTCCCAGCCCTCCCCTAGGTCGACTCAGCCTCAAATGAGTACCTGGTGTGGTGTGTAAACATTGCCACTAGGGAGACAAAGGCGGTCGGGCGTGGTGCTGGCCACCCACCCCCTCGTGTACCGTTCCGGCCTTCATAGGTGCTCGCTAACAGCACTTGCCCCTACAGTCTGTTAAAGGCTATATGGGGGATCTTTGTTGTCTGTGTGTGTGTGTCTGTGTGTGTGTGTGTCTGTGTGTGTGTCTGTGTGTATCTGTGTGTGTGTGTATCTGTGTGTGTCTGTGTGTATCTGTGTGTGTCTGTGTGTATCTGTGTGTGTCTGTGTGTATCTGTGTGTGTCTGTGTGTATCTGTGTGTGTCTGTGTGTATCTGTGTGTGTCTGTGTGTATCTGTGTGTGTCTGTGTGTATCTGTGTGTGTCTGTGTGTATCTGTGTGTGTCTGTGTGTATCTGTGTGTGTCTGTGTGTATCTGTGTGTGTCTGTGTGTATCTGTGTGTGTCTGTGTGTATCTGTGTGTGTCTGTGTGTATCTGTGTCTGTGTGTGTGTCTGTGTGTGTGTCTGTGTGTGTGTCTGCGTGTGTCTGTCTGTGTGTCTGTCTGTGTGTCTGTCTGTGTGTGTGTCTGTGTGTGTCTGCGTGTGTATCTGTGTGTGTGTCTGTGTGTGTCTGTGTGTGTCTTTGTGTGTGTCTGTGTGTGTCTTTGTGTGTGTCTGTGTGTGTCTTTGTGTGTGTCTGTGTGTGTGTAGTGTAGCGGTTAGCGCGCTGCGCTACGAACCTGGCAAACCGGGTTCCATTCCCGCTCACGGCCAACACCAGTGACGATTATCTGGGCCTCCCCTAAGTCCACTCAGCCTAAAACGAGTACCTGATATGGTGTGTAAACATCGCCACTATGGAGATAAAGGCGGCCTGGAGTGGTGTTGGCCACCCACCCCCTCGTGTGCCGTGCCAGCCTTCATAGGTGCTCGCTAACAGCACTTGCCCCTACAGTCTGTTACAGGCTATACGGGGGATCTTTGTGTGCTTATATATACCATCATAATATCATCGTGATGATAAACCCATGCCAATGTTGAGCGGACCTTCGACATTGGCATTTGGCTCCTTGAAGCTATCGCCTCGTGCGAGCGAAGTAGACGTGGAGCCTGAGAATCGCTGTTCAGCGACGTCCACCACATTGCAACACAGTGGTCTACAGCACCTGCTGTGCTTCCTAGTCGCCCATCCAAGCGCTATCCAGGCTCGTTTCCCTGCTTGGCATTTTAAAAATTGGTTGAGCGTCGCCGCAATGAGGGTGATTTTGGTCATACTGGCTTACATACGTTTACCAGTTTAAAGAAATTATATTTACCTAACAGAAGATATGTGCTTTTGAAAAGGCTAATTTTAAACGTCCCATTGTTTTGTGTAATATTTTTGAATGCAAAGTACACTTAGAAGTTCGGAAATAAATGCACATTGTGTACCGAATGTGCACGATATATGCAGCCATTAATACTCACTGATTTTAATTTAAAAACCTCTAGCGCATATCAAAATGTGTATTTTGCATGACCTGAAAAAAAGTGTCACGGGAATGGTTGATAAGAAGAAAAACTTTAAATATTTTAGGTCATGTCTATAGGAGACGAAAGTGCTTATAAGTTAGACATATTTCCAAAATGAAATTGCTGTGCAGTTGGCTTTTTCAAATAACAGCCCGATGGTTATGAAAACATTTTAAAGTAATGTTGGCTATGGACATAGATTAGATTACATTGAAGAAAAACCACGGAGCTGCCAAAAGCAACACAATCTGCGTATATACACGCACGCGTATATACATGCACACAGCAACGCAGGGTACAAAGTATGACATATGCTATCTTGGTAAAAGCTCCCAGCATCAATTGCATTTCGTGTTATTGTTTCTTCACATTGTATTTACCCTGCTCATCCATTGTTGCCAACTCTTAAAAAAACAAAAAGCGTAAAACATTTGCTCGCCTTTAAATGGCAAATGTCTTACTTTCTTCACGGATTTCTTTTCCTAGCCTAGAGAAGAAAGTGGAAGGGGTACGGTGGAGGGGGGGGGGGGGGGAGGCAGGCGATGTTGCTAGGCCCGTAACAGTCAAGCATTGTACAATAATGGGACGCGAGGGCGGGCAAAGAATTGGGAGAGAGGATTGTGCATTGGGGCGTGCCTTTGGGGTATTGGAGTAGAACGCAGCCTTCCCATGGGAACCAAGGTCATCGGGGCCAAAGCAGAGCATCCTCCGGGGGGGGCTGACATTAATTTGATGTGATTGATCACCAATTTCTGTATTTTGTTGTTGTCAAGTTTTGGGCTCCCCCCCCTGCACCAATTAGGAGAACTGGCACGAGACACTAATTCGGACGCATCTGGGTGCCGAGAGCGGTGAGCTCAGTGTGCAGGAATGCCCGTCGGCTTATTGTGGGAGCATCGCCGCTGCAAAGCAACTGGAACCAGTGCGGCAATTAGCTCATTAGGCATTATCGAAGATCCTAACAGCACATTTACCGAACTAATGAAATGTTCCCGCGCCGGAGACACAATGGACAACAGCTGTATCCACACACGTCCCCCCTTCACGGGGTGGTGGCGGCTAAATCCGCTCCGATGATGGCCCTTCTTAAAAGCTTAACCACGACCCTTCCGCAGTCTCGTTTGCTTTGAGGCAAGTCGATCTGAAAAGCACACGGTAACAAACTCTTGAAGCGGTCCTGCCTTATTGCAGTCGCGTCTGCGGGAACCGTGGGTGCTGAAGCGCTGCTCTATATCGACGCCTCTAGATTCATTATTCACGTGGACTACTAAGTGTGAAATGTTTTTGATATATGAGTTCCAACCTCCAATTTGCCCAAGTTGGCAATGCCCCTGGCCGTGACCCTGTTTGGCTGTGTCTCGTCACCGGTGAACCTTTTACGAGCCTGTAACGAGTCCCATCTGTCGTAAACCCACCGGGTCACACTGCGTATGACCCACACTTGCAATCAGGGCCTTCGAGTATAGGGCAAAATATTATAAACTACTTGCACATGTTGTTTTGTGTTCATTGTACAGTGAGCGAGAATGTTAGTGCACATCTTCTCGAGCGTGTATGCAGAGTAGCCCGAAAGTGAGTTCGCTGACATGAAGTCAGACGTGAGCTACATCTTGGGCCAGAAGAGTCGGATGGTCACAATGGCTTGCTTATTTATTTGACACATTCCATTGGTAGATGTCTGAGTATTAATCGGAAACAGTATTGTGACTAAACTTACTGAAAAATAATACGTCCTCAACTTAAGCCAGTGTGTTAATTAAATATCACTTTCTTAAAGTTATGACTGACCTTTATATACAGCACACGTATTAAAATATATAAGCAGACAATATGGTCTGTCCCTAAATGTAAAACATTAAAGCTTTTTTTTTACATTCCTCAATCCACACTGCTACCTTTTCGCCGTTTTACTTAATTACACTGATGAGTGTTGATTAGTGAGGGGGGGGGGGGGAGGTTCGGATCATTCAAGGTATCACTACGAACAATAGCCCTGGTTTTGAATTGAACTGGGCTGACCGGGTTTATCGCAAAGTGCACTCACAAAATGCAGCACCGCGCCACTGTATGCACGGTAATAATAATTGGGAATTTATCCGCCAAGTGACACATATTACACGTACACTGGTCCACACTTTTGAATATAGTTACAGGACATTTTGGCATTGAAGCAGAAAAAACAAAGTCAGTGCCTAGCCTTCCAGAAACTTCCGTAATAATTACAATCGTGGTACAGTTACAATTTTCAGCTTCCTCAAAAAATAAAAAAATGCTGGTGATTTTAAAACGTAATTCCATTTTTTTCTTCCAGAGAAGGACTTGTGGAAAGGCTCAAAGGCCGAGAAGCATCGGCAACACCGCCAGCGCACCGCCAACACACCTGTGGAGGAGGGCGG